ATTTCAAACATAACTGGGTACACATTTTCTTTATCTAATTTTTGGAAGTACAGGTTAAATTTAAGTAACTTTCCTATTACTTTTCTATTTGAATTTTATTATCACTAAAAAATGTTATCCATTCTAAATAACATGTTTTCCTAAGATTCAGAAAGACCATGGGCAAATGCTTACCTCATAAATGCTTAAGGTGCTGAAGCTGCTATGCTTTGAAAACATATTCTGGGAATTTCTGAATAACCAACCCCTAGTTGTTAAATAGTGTAGGAACTTTAAAGAATTTATTCTCTTAAAGACCGTTCTCTTTAGGAATTACTAAGTGGTCACATCCAGACCAGTAATTCAAAAATTTATAAGAACCCTTCCCTAACCTCCCTCCCTCCAATCTTTGTGTTTAAGGTTAAATCCTCCCATTGTTAAAATCAAAGAGTTTTTAAAAATCATTCTTTCAGCTTATAAATTATATTGGGAAATAGTTACATAATGGCTGTGATTTATGACCCAGGTTTCAGCTTACTGTCTGCCCTATTTATTGACAAATTTTCTGAAATCACTTTTACTATGTAACTTGCCTAACAATAGAATGAAAAAAGAAACCCAGCTGCCAGTAATGGCCTGGTTATTCAGATCCCCTTCCCTGGCCATCCTTCTCTCCCATCTACACCATCTCCTTGCCTTCTCTAATTTTATTCCTTTTCCTGCCCCCCTAACCCAGATAGACACACCAGGAATGCACCCCTTCGAGCTGGCTGATGGGAAGCCTACCTGCTTGGGCAAGGCTCTGAGGTTCTGCTCAGTCTAGGCCACAGCAGGATTCTGCCTTCTGAGAAGTATGGTCCATCTGCTCACAGCCACAAATTTAGCACTTAATTGGTTTTAATACAAAGCCAAACTACACGTGAAGTTTGTTTTTCAGATTTTCGAATGAGTTCCCCAAAGCATACGGTCTGTCTCTACATTTTCATTTCCCTCAAGGTGGTTAGGGCAACAAAGAACTTGTGACATTCCTTTGAAATATTTTTAGCATTTTTTTTATTGTGGTAAGATACACATAATATAAAGTTTACCATCTTAATTAGTTTTAAGTGCAAAATTTGCTGGCATTAAGCACATTCACACTGTCCTGCAACCAGCACTACTGCCTAGCTCCAGAGGTCTTGAGGACACCACTCTCTCAGTATACAGGAGACAGGAACTTGCCATTTAGTTTCTACTGATAAAAATCCAGTCTTAATTCACAGAACTGTACACCTAAAAGAGGTGCATATTACCGTATATTAGTTATACTTCAATATCACTGATTAAAACCAAACTAAGCGGGGATGCGGTGGGAGTGGACTCGGGATAATTGGGAGCTAGACCGCAGGGGCAAGGGCATAGAGGGGATGAGAGAATTTCATTAGGGTACACAGGAGAACTGGAAGAGGATGAAGAGAGTAGTGGCATTCACCACACACTCGTTGCCACCACTTTTGAGTGCCTGTGTTCTAGACACTGTGCCAGCCACTGGAACTGGGCAGGCCTTTGGCTCTCCAAGTTCATCCTGATGGCAGTACAGATAACCGAGGCGGCAAAGCTAGTGGTTTTTGCCATCGCCCAGGTAACAAGTGCTCAATTAAGACAGTAGCAAGGGCGATGGAAAACAAAGGCTATATGTACTTTTAGTTGTACCTAGTAGGCCACCAAGAAATCACTGATCCCATCATTCTGTTCCAATTTTTAATCACTCCAACCAATGGAGCACCTATTTTAGCCTGTAATGTGGCACACCAATCAGGCATTGTGTGAGGCCTGTCAGCAAAACAGAACTCGGGGCACAGACAGTAACACATAAACCGAGTGTGTGTTATGTTCGAGGTGCTGTGGTGAAAATAGTCTAATTAGATCAATATCATTTTGGTGGAATATTTATGGGGTGCTGATTTTCTGCAAGGCTTTTTGTTGATTAAATTGGACATGACTTGAATGTTTATCAATGCAGAAATGGTTGAATAGATTGTAGGAAACTATGCTGTGAAATACCATGCAGCGCATCTACATGTGCCAACCCAGAATGAACTCAAAATGCACTGTTAAGTAAAACACAGGCATTGTAGACTGTATTACAAAGCACAATCACATTTGTGGAAAAAACAACAACAGCATTGATTTGTTTGTATGGAGGGATATCTGTAAATCGGAGAAAAAGGTCAGAAAAGAATATACATATCAGGGTGGGGAACCTCAGTTGTGTTCCATATTGCTATGAGAATATAGCCATGCATCCCTTCTGTAGAGAAACCAAGTTTTATAGGTTGGTACACCAAGTGAGTAGATTGTATTACACCATGGGCTCATACTTCTTCCATGCAACCTTTATTGGCAATTCGAATCATAGACTATCCTCATAATAATGGCTAAGACTATATAAGTGAGTGTGTGCATGGATGTCTATATCTTTTTAATTTGCCAAATGATTTTTAGACTGTTAAAAAATAAGAGTTATGTATATCAGAGGACATTTGAAAGGAAAACATAGCAGCTATCACAAAGGGTTTCTCCTTGAGTTACAAGAAAACCATTTAAGACAAATAAGTGACATATTTAATTTATTCTCACTTAATTATAAAATCCTCAGAACCCAAAACTATTCATTGCAAAGGAGCTAATCAAATTATGACAATCTTTTATTTTTTAGGTCAAAACACAGTAGGATAGCATGTGAGAGGTACTTCCCTAGTTTTAAACTGCTGTTTGCTGTGCGTGTTGATGCCACAGAGGCCACTTGGAAATGACAGACACTGCAGAGCCAGCACCTGCACTGCCCAGGCGCAGGAGAGCATCTCCTTGTCTTCATTTTCAAATTAACATGTCTGAGGAATAGCAACTAAAACGTTGGGCAGAGAGTGGTAGAGACTTACTTTCTTTTCTTTCTTTTTCTTTCTTTCTTTCTTTCTTTCTTTCTCTCTCTCTCTCTCTCTCTCCTTCCTTCCTTCCTTCCTTCCTTCCTTCCTTCCTTCCTTCCTTCCTTCTTTCCTTCCTTCCTTCTTTCTTTCTTTCCTTCCTTCTTATTTATTTATTTAGAACTTTGTAAAGAATGCTTTCAAAGGCTGTTAATACAAGGCCAGTTAGCAACTGTTGCCCACTACAACTGAAAAATTAACTTAAAGAACTCACATAGCATTTTCAGGACCTTGTTCCAAATAGAACTTCTCAGACAGACTAAAGTTGTACTCTTCTCATCTTTGGCCCACTTGAAGATTTTTTTTAAAAGGCAAGATAGTAGGTGTAAATGACTCAGACAGGCCCCAGAGGATGCTCTGGACAGCTGAAGGGCTAGGAGCTTCGTGAAGAATGTCTTGATAAGAAGTCTAGACTATCTGTAATTTGCTGATTGTGAGGAAAACCAGATTAGTAAAAAACCTTGTGAAGCCAACAGTTACAGGAGCTTAGAATGCATGTGAAACTTCAATGGCATGTGGGAACAGGGTTCTAATACTTTATGACCCCAAGTGACATTTAGGAGTGACTCCTATCACAAATGTGAGAAATGCCACAGGAAGAGGGGACAAACATCTTTAAAAGGCTAAAAGGGAATTGTAAAAATGTGAATAGGAAGAACATAGAAACTACAAAATCCATTATACATAACATCTGAAAGTTCTCACTTGGAGTGGACTGAGTTGAATATTACAGCACAAGACAAGCAGAGAAGGCAAGTAGGCTGTCCTTTGTACAAATTAGGAAAATGCATCTCCTTTTCCAGGTTCTCCTTTGTTTCAGCCCCACTTATCCCTTTTGGCTGGGCAGCCTTGTGCAGTGAACAATCTGCACAGCTCGTTAGTAGTTTAGTTACAGAGTGGGTGATGTGAACCTATATGTTTGACCTGAATATTTAAGAAAAAAAAAGAGTAGGAAACTTGGTAAAGAAATAGTTACTCATAGCAAATTACTTGTTAAATTATCTGAGCTGAGTATTTTCATGGACCATATCTGAAAAAGTTAATCTATGCCTTGGTTATTATTTCTGTCAAGAGTTGAGAAATCACACAAAATAGCCCAAGAGTTGAGAAATCAGACACAAAATAATCCATAACAGGATGAGATATTAACACCATATACAAGGAACATTGCTTTTCTATCTCTCCATAGAGGGACTGCCTGCTTCCTCTTCTCTGGACACATTCAGAAATCTGTTCATCACGACGGTCTCAATGTCACCCCTCTGGCAGCAGAGCTGTCCTTACAGGAGAAATGAGGTGGCTGCCACTCCCACTAAGAGCAAAGTGCCTTTTCCACTTGTTCCTGGGCTCCCCCTTCTTCCTACCTGGCTCCTCTAGCAAGCACATTTATTTTACTTATAACCGGATCTGCACCACGGAACACAGAGTGACAGCTCCATGAATTCACTGAGATATTTTAAATTACCTAAATTATCGGTTTACTCTCCATTTACCTCCACACCTGCCCCCTATTCCACTACAGGGCACTCAGCAGTAGTGCCCAGATAGCCCCAAAACAATGAATAAATGCTCAGGAAACTTGAGAATTCCATGAGAACTATAGCAAAAAATCAGGCCCTTTCATTCCAGTAAAGAAAAAACTGACCGGGTTGCCCAGAAGTCTCAGAGCCCACTCACAAACGTGCGAACACTGCTGCCAGGTTCTGATCACCCTGTGAGTGACAGCAGTATCTACTTGGGCGGAGAGGAGCACTGGAAGGAGAGGGCCTTCCTCCACGGGACAGGGACGGCTGCAGTGGGGAGCCAGAGGCGAGGGCATGGGGCATGGTAGCAGAGAAGGGCTGCTAACTCCTGGCTTTGGTTATGCAGTGTGAGGACCCACATCTGGAAGGTGTCCCCAGCTTCAAAGAGGTTATGGGGGACACAGGCTTCAGTACATTGCAGCAGTACCTGTTCTTTAATTTTACGTTTTTAAAATCATCTCTGAAGTTATCTGAAACACCAAAGATGCCCCGTGGAAAAGGCTTTCCTTATGAAGGAACAGGCAGTGTGGCTCACCTCAATAATGTAGAGAACCACGTTCTTGTAGAAGCAGTACAAGATGCACTTGGTCACCCGGTTGTAGCTCCAGGCACCGTGGACCAGCAAGAGCTTCTCTAGGTAGGAAAACTGAAAACAGAAAATAAAGTTCAGAGGAGTCCACCATTTAGGAATAAAAGTCATACAATGTCCTTTGAAGGAAAAAAAAACATTCACTTACAAAAATAAAAGGCCAAGCTTTCAGGCCCGATAAGAAGAGCTAAAATCTCTCAAATCTACATAACTGTAATTTCCCCCAAATATGCAGCTGGCCTTCTAATTATCATTCTCATAAAATTCTACTTCTATAAATGCTTTCAAAGGGTCTTAATATTAGAAGAAGGTGAATAACGCAGTGGAAGGAAAGTACAGCCTGAACCAGATACCTCAAGCACAGATCCCATGGTGACCACAGAAGCGAGGGATAATGTCGCCCGTGCAACAGCACCCTTTTGAAAAAGGGATACACGTATATACACGGCCCGTTTCCACTGTCAGCCTGCAGGTTAGAAGTAGTTACGGACACACAGAGATGCACAGACACACACAGACACAAAGACAACACGTGCTCTGTCTCCACTTCTGTACCCATTTTGTTCTCCTCTTCTGCCAACTAGTACAGAGCACCTCCTGCTACAGTGCTGTGCAGTCAGGAAAAACAAAAACCAGTAAGTAAGCAGACACCATACTAAGTTGAGAGTAATGTAATGGCTGTCACAGCCATTGCATTTTGAAATATGCAACAATATCCTAATATTCCAATAAAATAACGGAACCCTCTCTGGGCACAGGGTCTTTGAGCACCACCCAATCGGGTCTCCAGCCTCCCCTTGGCCTGGCCTGGCCTTCGGTGTCCTATTTCACAAAGGTCCCAAAAAGTGTGAACACTGAGCTGGAGGGAAGGAAATGAAGTGGTTTTGTTGCTTGTTTGTTCATTTTTGGTTTTGTGGATCATACTGAGCGCTGGAGTGAATGCACTGTTAGGAATGACTCTGTTTAAATGTACAGTTTCTGCACATTCAGTGAGCCTCATACCCACACTGAACCCCCCGGCTGCCTTGAACTAAAACCTAATTCCCTGCTCAGAGTCGCAGGGCAGTCCGGGGCCCAAACCCCACGGCTCTCCTGAAGAGATCATCAGGTTGTATGGAGCATATCCACAAACATTAGAAATTCTTTTGCTATTACAGACTTCCTGTTGATTTCATATTACTTTTGAAATTAAATTTAATTATCTGTAGAAAAGACTAACAAGATACAATATTTTTAAAAACTACATTATTTCCAAGAAGGAACCACATGATACTTTCCATTAGCACTAAAGAAGAGGACTCAATCTGATGTGGCATCACCTTTCAATGAGTTCTTTCAAAAGATCAGGGTGAGGCAGGTCCCTCACCTGCCTGCGTATTCCAAAAGCTAAATGGCGCTTCAAAATGGCAGGAGTTGGTGCACATGGAAAAATAAAACTGCCCATAAAGGCTCATTAAGTTTTCCCAAGGGGAATGGGGAATCATAAAATAACTAGCTAGACATATAAAAAGGAAGTCTGTATTCGACCCGGACCCCCGATGTTACACTTCAATGGGCACGGAGAACATCTGCTGTACTCATCCCAAACACCTCGACGTTAGTGCTACAATGATTTGTTTTCAGAAAAAAAACCCATCCTAAATCAAAATGCTGTTTTCATGAGGTCGTTCAGGAAACATTAGGAAGGTAGGGGCGGGAGCGATTCTCTCCTGAGAACAGGCTGCTGAGGGCTCCCGCAGCCGGCACAGGCTGCCCACGGGCAAGGCAGCCGATGAGGGGACGGTGTCCGCCTCGGGAGCTGCCCCGTGGACAAAAGCACAGGCTCCTGGAAAGAAGTAGATCCTGAACTTTGCCTACTTCATAATTTTTCCCAGGACAACTCTTTAAGCTATATCTTCTTCTTCAGTATATAGTCCTTCAGGGTACTTTCTCAAAAACCCAATCAAAATGGAAACAGCCACATTAAAATAAACAGATACAGACAAGCTGTTAACTTCAACCAAAGACATTTATCATTTCACTAGGGCAAAGAAATTCATCAAACTGTGGCCTTTCCCTCTCAGTGACTATAGAGGGAGCATACTGTTGGGTGGAGAGGCTGTAAGGCGGGGAGGAACGCTGCCCTAATGTAACGAGGCCTCTGGCTTATTATGAACAGGACCATGGAGAGGAGAAATGAAGAACCACAGACATGGGGGCCATTCATCAGTTGGGTGACTGTTATGCTAGAGGGGCGAGAAAACCCCTAAACAGAGACAGAAAAGCCCTGCTCCCCTCTCTGTCTTTCTTTGATGCTTTTAATTTGAAGATACCAGTTGGTCCAGACTCCACATCCTATTAGTATGCAGTTTCAATAAAGCAGGTCATGGAATCACCCTTCCCTAGACATTTTCAAGAAAAAGACAGACAAATATTTGCCTAGAACTCCTAGGAAACCTCTAAAGATCCCTCCCAGCCATATGATGCTATAACTCAAGTATTTAATAATGCTGGGGTGTATAACATCCACACTTGCTGACAGACTACAGGAAGTGTGAGTCCCCCAGGCCTTGGTGTAGTTGACTCAGGAAAGCAAACGGGCAGGTGTGCGGGGCTGGTCCCCAAGGTCACATGCAGATCTGGTGTTCTCTGGCCCTGGATGCTTGGACCTGAGGCAGGTCACCTGAAAGAGCCCCAGTTTTCCCACCTGTAAAATCAGAATTCCTTCTACCTACTTTGAGCAATTATCTTGAGGATTTATTTGAAATCAACAAAAGAACAAGATTGATTTCATGCACTTTTCAGAGTCATGAGGATTTGTAATTCCTCTCTGGGTTTGCAGAAGCATGAGCTGGGAGGGAATCCGAGAGGTGATCTAGTGCAGAGCCCTCCTTTGGGGAGGTGGAGCCCCAAAGCTGCAGAGGACCAGCCTGTAACCCTGGGGTGACTGGAAGCTCTTTCTTGTTTTATATGTAGCCCCTGACTTGAGCATGAAGAGAGAAAAAGCCATTATTACTAGTTTTGTTCATATGATTAAGATTAACACATTCTCCAAAAGACTAAACACTGGAGAAAGGAACTCTAGTAAATCTGCAAACAAGCAGCGTTTAATCAAAACATACCACAATCAGGAGACAGGAAGAAACGTTCTGTGTTCATTTCCATGTATCAATTTTCTGTACAATCATTCAGGTCAGATGGCCTAGATATGTGCCCTAGAGGTCAGGAGGTTGGCTGACTCTTCACTTTTTGGCTATCGTTAAGGAGTAGACATTTCTTTCATCCTTAGGCCACCTGTGCAGTAACTACTTTCATCAGGGGCCTCTGCTGGGGACGTTTCATCCAGAGAGGGATAGGACGAACTTGGCCTAAGTGTGGGAGGCTCTTCACTACTTACCCTGGGGTACTTAGGGCCCCAAACTAGCTCATGCTCTCAGCAATTCACCTCACAGCAGTGGTCCTGGGCAGTGCCCTGGTCACAGCTACAGGGAGAATGACAGCTGTGAGTTACTGCTTCCCCTCATCTTAAACTCCCAGTGACAGAATGTTCTAGCACCTCTGAAAGAAGGGAAATGCCCCCATGGGAACTACAGAGTGGGTGTCATGAGTACAGTGTTCTTTGGCACAAGGCAGTGGAAGGAAAAGCACACGTGGCAGATGCATGAGTTGCAGGTTGTAGAGATTATTATTAGGAGGAGCAGAAACCTATCTGTCAGGAAAGATATCTTGCCTGGATGACAGAAAGCTTGGACAACCCACAACTAGCCAGAAGAAACCTGACTGGCAGGACAGGGCCTACAAACTGTACAAGACCAAGACTACAAAGACATTCAAACACACTAGTGGTTTCACCTAGGTGTCAACCTCAAAGCGGGTGGCAGACTTCTTAGGGCTGGACTGACGGGCCAGCTGACACCTCTGTGCACGGGATGGAGCAGCTGGTCAACCGCGCCTCTGACCTGTGCGATGGCATAATCCGAGTTGTTTGTCGCCTGCATGCCTTCATTCCCACTGATTCCCACACCCACGTGGGCCGTCTGGATCATCCCGACGTCATTGGCACCGTCCCCGATGGCGAGGGTGATGGCCTTTACCCGCTTCTTAACCACGTCCACTATCTCAGACTTCTGCAGAGGAGACACTCTGTAAGAGAAGAAGGAGAAACTATGACTATATTGATCTTTCCAAAGGAAACAGCTGTAATCTACATTTAGCTGCATGAAAAGGGCAGTCACTGGACAATGTCCAAATTCAATACATACATTTTATATTCGTGTGCAAAGAAGGTTTCAAAAAACAGTAGCTTATGGCTTTCAAGTATTTGCCAACTTCACAGATGAAATACATAGCTCAAAACAAATTTAAAACACAGCCCATTTATGCTCAGTGGGAGTCACACGTGCAAACTCCCCAAGGACACATGTGCCCTCCTGGAAGATACAGGCAGTTAAACTGGCTACAGTGGCCTTAGGAGGTGCCTTCCTAGCAAATCAGAAAACTCACACAGACCCTGTTTCTGTTTTGGTGTGCATCATTCACAACCTGGGGCTGGCGAGGGGGTTTCCCATAAAATCTGCCTTCACAAAAGGGAAAGTAAGTTGGCAGAGCTTGCGAATGCAGAAAGAGGACTACAGTAAGAGGAAAGAAGAAAGACTTCTCCAACTCCACCCCAGAGATAGAGACAGAGTTTGAAGGGCAGCCAAGGCAGAGGATTTAAGAAGGGGACTCACAGGGGCCGACAGTCTACTAAAGGCTGAACTGCAGCAGCAGAGCCCAAAGGGGAAGACACAGCAGCCTCTGCCTAAGAGCGGTTGTTCTCACAAGGACCTGAGAAGGTGGGCTAATGCTCACAAGCCCTCACATCATCTGGGAAGAAGACCCCATATAAATCTGTCCTGTCTGAAGCACAGCAACATTGATTACATGAAGTATTTGTTCCGAGTATAAGTTCAGATAGCACAATAATGTGATAAAACTACAAGTACTTCAGGACTAACTTGTTTTTATTTTAAATTCTGAATTGGTAAGCTGATTTGGGAAATTTACTGAATCACTATAACACACACACACACACACACACACACACACACACACAGGGTAAAAGACCGCTTTGGGTTTCCCAGAGGTACCGGCCGCAACCACACGTGGACTGGGCTTAGAAGCCAGAATAGACACTCGAAGACCTTCCCAGGAGAAATATGAGCTCTCATATGGCCAACCCACAAAAATGCTTGTTTCCAAAAGAAAACTTAAATTTTAGCAACTCTGGAAAGAAAAGTGTTTGGCGAAACAGCAAACTAAATTTAAAATACAGGTACTCTGAAAGCTGTTGCTTAGTTACAAAGAAATAAAAATTAGCAAGTTAAAAAAAAACAGAATCTAAGTATTGAAAGGGCTTTAGCAGCCATATTGTGTGATGTAATACCTCTTTTCTCATTTTCACAGGGGTTTTCAATAACGAGACTTTACAGCCTCCTGGGGTAGTTGTAACCACAAAAAATTATTATTATTACTTTTTTATTGTTAATACATATACTTAAGAAGTACGAATTCTGCCCTCTGGGCCACACTTTCAACTATTAAGAAGGTGGGAATATAAAGACACCTATCACATCTCTCCTCCCAAAGCTCAGTTTCTGCTGGCTAAACAGTCTTAGGTCCTCCAACCACGATTTAAGAGGCATGCTTCAGAATTTAAAAATAGCTCCCAAGTATGAGCTTCTAGACAGCTGAGAGCAGAACAGAACAGAATCACCAGCTCCCTGGTAGCAGATGCTATACTGACCCTGATGTACCCTAAAATGAAATTACTGGAAGCTTTACTATTGCTTATTATTGAGCTTCCTGTCAACTAAACATAAGCAACTTTAACACACAGGGACATAAGCTGTATTTATTCCTTCTAGGTCTGAGCCACTGCCCCTCAGAGCCAAGAGCTGATCTTTACATTCCTCTCTCTCTCTCATTACATTTCTGATTAGCAGATAGGCAGACACAGCCCACAATTCTAATTTTCTATGCAAATGTGGTTTCTCATTTTATTATTGAGCTCCAAAGAAGCAGAGATCAAATACTGTATGGAGAAAATGACCTAGGATTTGAAGTTGCAGAACTGAGCATGACTTTTATATGTGTCCATATAAACTATGTCAACAGGGAGAACAATTTTATCAGTCCTTGTCTTTTCATCAATGAAATGGGGAAAATGAGAACCACCTACTTCATGAGATGGTTGTGGCATATTTATATTTATGTGAAACCATTCTGCTTACTAGCAAACATGAAACAAATGTTATCTCCTACCCGACCTGCAAAATCTCGGCTGTTGGGAATAAAAAATGGACACACCTGAGAACTGCATGTTGTCTGACCCATGGTTCCCAAAGTGTGTGTAGGTAGGTATTCTGGGGAACTATAGGGGGAAATTACACATTTTCAAGTTAATACAGCAACATCTCTCAGGTAATGGTACATAGTAGTGGCTCTAAGTAGCCCCTAGTCTCAACAGCAGATCACGCTGCATTCCTTTGCATGATAAATCTCTGTGGACCTGAACATCCACGTCTGCTGTGACAAAAAGCACATGCACTGTGAATGAATCAGTGCAGCCCAGGAAATGAGGGAGGCACTGTCCACTCTTACTCCAAGCTTGAAAAGTTGCACAGTGCTCAGCAGGTGCACCCTACCATGTGATCAGTAAGTGATTATGATCATTTGAGAATAAAAGAAAATAAGTATTATTTCTTTCATTTAAGTGTATTAGTGTTTCAAATGTCTGCTAAGTTGTTAGGGCATAAATACTCCCAAAATTGTTTGATCTTGCCCACTTAATAGTTAGAAACTGTTCTGTTTCACTTTTGTTCTGGGGGTTTTGCAAAAGAATTACAGACACACTGCAGTACTAGGAATCCAGAAAATCTGGAAACCTCTGCGTTAATCACTTCTCTCTGTGGTTAATCACTCTTTAAGTACAATTATTCATCCACTAAAGTGGAACTTCACCTCATGGTACCATCATTGAATCTCCAACTCTTCTTCTGCATCCATGAAGCTATCACAAGAGAACATGGGGCAGCAATGAGCCGGCCTGAGGCTGTGACTCCTTGAGATTCTTCTACCTGCCACCCAAGTAATCAAGCAGTCTGGCTTCTTCACCAGCACACCCGGAGCGGCCTGGAGGGAAAGGGAACCTCGGGAGCAGGAGAGCCTGTGTGCAGGAAGCTCGGCCACATGGACACCATGCCATGGGAAGTTCAGAGGGCTGTGGTGGTGGAAGAGGGAAGTTGCCAAATAAATTCAAGGTTTTCTTTGAAGTTAAAGTTTTTGCTTTTATGTTAGGGGGTTAGCAATAAGCCAGCCGATGCGTGAGACAAGCGGCAAGTCAAATACACTCACTACGTTTGCCACTCTGGGATTTGGATCTCAGGAAAGTCAAGTGATCAATCTGATGACTTAAGGAAAAATCTTTGAAAGTCCAACAGCTGCCTTCTCCCAAAGAGCAAAAATAAAGAGAAGGCCTGGCCGGGAGTATAAAGTAAGTCATATATCCCTGTGTTTTGGAAGCATGAAATTCTCATCAAGAATTTCTTACGCCCTCAACTATGATGCCTTGAGAACACAGGATTCGAGCACACGCTAGAGGTTCACAACTGAGGTTGAACAGCTAACTCCACAGAAATGAAGAGGCACCTCACACACTATTTCAGGATGCCAAGTTACCACAAACACGAACCAGCTCTTTCAAAATCTTAATTTGTGACCTGAATCCCATGCTACATGTAACAAGTATTCCCAGCACATAATATACATTCAAATCATAAAATAGGATTTCCGTCCACATCTGAGCCAAGTGCTTTGGACATTTCTATACCAGATTTTGGTGAATTACAACTAGAAATATAAATTCAAAGATCTTTAATCAGTTGGAAAGGTATTCTACCCACTTTTCTTTTGGCTAACACAACAGAGCCTAAAATAAGTTTTCCATCTGAGAAAAATAAGTTTTCCATCTGAGACTTTCAAACAAAAATCCAGTATTCTGGAGTACCTCATTTATAAGATATGTGTCCCCAAATTTTAAAGGTCACTTTCTTTTTTAAAAAGATTTTATTTATTTTTAGAGTGAGGGTAAGGGAAGGAGAACGAGTGGGACAGAAACGTCGACCGTTTGCCTCTTGCACGCCCTGGGGACCTGGCCCGCATGCAACACAGGCATGTGCCCTGACCAGGAATCAAACCTGAGAAATTTTGGTTTGCAGGATGACATCCAGCCCACTAAGCCACGCCAATCAGGGCTAAACGTCACTTTCTAAAGGTATCTCAAGTATAACACCAAAGGATAACCACTGGTAACAACTGCTTTCACAGGATTAATGATCATGCATTAATTTATCTGATTTACAAAAGCCCTGGCCTCAAGATGAGTTTTTAAATTCTGACCTTGCAATATCACTTGAATACACTTAAGTCCATTCCCCTTTCAGGGCTCAGCTGCCGCATTTGTCAGAGAGGGGCTGGGCCTCCAATACTGACGAGTAAACTGAGTTCAGCCATGCCACGGGGGTTAAAGGAACTCTGCTCAGGCAGCAGCACCCAAGAAAATTTCAACCAGAACCACAGCTCTTTCTAATTAACCAGAGTCACCAGATACTTTCACTAATTGGACTTCAAAACTTCTTTATTCCAAATAGACAGTCCTCATAACTAATGAAGAGATTTGAAGACCAATGACCTAGATCACTGAGTCGAAAATTTTCAATGAGCATCTGAATCATCTAGAGAGATTGTAAAGCTACAGATTCTGATTCAGGAAGTCTGGGAGGGGCCAGAAAATGCACATTTTTTAAAACTATTTTTATTGTTGTCACTCTTAATAGACGTCCCCAATTTTGCCCCTTTGCTCACCTCTACCCAGCCCTGCTCTCCCTTCCTTCTGGCCATCGCCACACCATTGCCTGTGCCTTAACAAGCTCTGGGCGGTGCCGTGCGGCTTGTCCATGGGCCCTCGGGTAGCCAGCAATGGCCTAGACAAGATCGCAAGTTCTCTCTGGTTGAAACGTTTTGATCAGCTAAGCTTACATTTCCATAACACAAAACCTTTCACAGAGTGACATTCAATAACTACTTAGCAGAAGCGCTGAATT